ATAAAATGAATTGGGAAGTATTCCCTCCTATTTTGTGGAAGAAATTATATAGAATTAGTGTTACTTCCTCTTTAAACATTTGGTAGAATTCTCCAGAGAAACCATCTGGACCTGAGAGTTTTTGGGGGGAGAAGAGGGGGGCTTTAAATTAAATTAATTCTCCTTAATTGTTATAGGGCTATTCAAATGATCTATTTCATATTGGGTCAGTTATGGCAGTTTGTGTTTTTCAAGGATTTTGTCTAACTTATCAAATTTATGCATATAGAGTTCGTAGTGTTCCCTTATCATCTTTTTTATATCTGTAAAGTCTCTATGCTGTGTTTCATTCCTAATATTTGTAGTTTGTTTTCTTAGTCAGTCTTGCTAGTGGTTTGTCAATTTTATTGATGTTTTTCAGAATACAAGCTCTTTTGTTTCATTGATTTTCTCTTATAAATTTCATTGCTTTCTGGTTCCTTTCATTTTTATTTCCTTGCTCATGCTCGCTTAGGGTTTACTTTGCTCTTCCTTTTCTAGGTTCTTGAGATGGGACTTAAGATGATTGATTTTAGACTTTTCCTCGTTCCTAATGTATGCATTTAGTGCTTTAATTTTCCCTTAGCACTGCTTTAGCTGTGTGCCACAAATTTTGCTATGTTGTTTTCATTTTTCTTCAGTTCAATGTATTTAAGTTCTTTCCTTCAGAATTCCTCATTGACCCATGGATTATTTAGAAATGTGTTTAGTTTTGAAGTACTGTAAGATTTTCCTCCTATCTTTCTATTGTTGATTTCTATTTTGAGTCCATGGTGATCAGAGAACACATTCTGTATCATTCCATTTTTAAGATTTTATTTATTTATTGGACAGAGAGAGAGACAGCGAGAGAGGGAACACAAGCAGGGGGAGTGGGAGAGGGAGAAGCAGGCTTCCAGCAGAGCAGGGAGCCCGATGCGGGGCTCGATCCCAGGACCCTGGGATCACGACCTGAGCTGAAGGCAGACGCTTAACGACTGAGCCACCCAGGTGCCCCTGTATCATTCCATTTTTAAATTGGTTGAGATTTGTCTTTTGGTCCAGGATATGGTCTGTCTTGGCATATGTTCTGTGGGAGCATGAGAGAAGGTCTATTCCGCGGTTGTTGGGTGGAGTGTCCTGTGTTGCTTAGATCCTGTTGGTGACTGTGTTTTCATCTCAGTATCAGCACCTGCTCTCTTTTTTCATGCAGTTTGAGATCTTCCTGGTTCTTGGTATGATGAGAGACTTTTTTTCCTAATATGTAACTTTATTTTTAATTTTTTAAGTAATCTCTATGCCCAATGTGGGGCTTGAACTCACCACCCTAAGATCAAGAGTCACACGCTCTACCGACTGAGCCAGCCAAGCGCACCCATGATGAGACTTTTTATCGGAGCCTGGACATTTTTGTATTATGAGATTGAATCGAAATTTAAACTCCTGTTTTAACTTTCTGTGAACTGCTTTGGCATGGGCGGGGGAGGCGGGATTTCATGATCCTCCACCAGCTCTAATCTCTGGCTTTATTTAGGTTCCCCCTCTGCACTGTTCCCTACACTACAGTGCAGGAAACTACTTCTAGGCCATAAACTGAGACAATCAGAGGGCTCACCTCATTTATTTCCCTTTTCAATATCCAAACATGTAGAATTTTGTCTGTGTTTTTAGTTAATTATAGTGGGAAGGTGATTGCTGTAGCTGAGATCACTTCATGGGTGGAAGCGGAGGTATTTCTGAGCCAGGTTTTCAGCGGGAACAGATGTAAGAGGCTAGGCCCCTAGGAGAAAGGGCCTTGAAACAGCACGACCAGTGTGTGAGGTCGTAATCCCCCCAATCTTCTCCATAAGGACTCATGACCATTTGCACAGTACACACTGGAAGAGGAGGAATATTTGACCATTTGAAGAACTGTCTGCTACAGGGTCCTGTCTGATATTGATGTCCACAGATCTGAAGCGTATGGCCCCGTTAGAGCGGCAGTGTATTGGGACAGGGTGACAAATGTATTCCGGACTAGGTCTGGCTCTCAGTAGTTCTGCTGGGTTCATAGATCCACCTAGCGGTCACTTCACTGGTCCTTAGTGGGTAACTGAGATGGGTAGGTATTTGATAGTTGGCAGAACTACATTAACCATGACAGGGTAAGAGATATCTTAGCGAAGACCAGCATGAAACTCTTGAAGCTGCCTCCACCATCTCAGGCCAAGATAATTAAAACTATCACATCTGGGGGCACTTGGGTGGCTCAGTCGTTAGGTGTCTGCCTTCGGCTCAGGTCATGGTCCCAGGGTCCTGGGATCGAGCCCCACATCGGGCTCCCTGCTCAGCGGGGAGCCTGCTTCTCCCTCTCCCGCTCCCCCTGCTTGTGTTCCCGCTCTCGCTGTCAAATAAATAAATAAAAACAAAAAACAACAACAAAACTATCACATCGGTGGCCCTCTTGAAGACCTAAAGGATGCAGGGATGGTGGTCCATCATAAAGCCATTTAATTCACTAGTCTGGTCCCTGGTAAAACCAGACAGTTCCTGGAGGCTGACAGTGGATTATGGCAATCTCAACCAACAAGTAATTTTCGACAAGTAATCTGTGCTAAATGTGGTGTCTTTGCTAGAGCAGATTAACACAGCCTCAGGTACACGATAGGCAGCCATTAATCTGAACAATATATTCCTGTCCATCTCTGTAAGAAAGGAGGATCATGACAAGTTTGCTTTCACTAGTGGGATGAGCAGTAATATATATTTACAGTCTTGCACCTGGACCATGTAAACCCTCCCACCCTGTCATCCTATGACCTGGACCATCTGGGCATTCCACAGAGTATCACATTACCACATTGATGACATCAAGGTCGTTGTACAGGACCAGCAAGAAATGGCAAGTACATTAGAGACTGGTGGTATATAAACCTGCAAATATTCATGACATTTTTAGAGGTCCAGTGGTCTGGACCATGCCAGGACATTCCCTCCAAAGTAAAGGGGAAATTTTACTTCTCCCATCTCACTACTAAGAAGGAAACACACTGCCTGGTAAACCTCTTTGGGGTCTAAAGACAGCATATTCCACACTTGGGAATAGTGTTCTGACACATGTATCAATTTTGATCATAAATGGACAGATGTAGTCATGGCCTGCAAAGGGCACAATGACCAGGTACCTTATCAGGTAAACTCTTTGGACCAGAAGTACAAGTTGAGGGGGTGTAGCTAGAAATCTAAATGGGGAGTAGAGGTGGGAGAGGATAAATACCCATTGCAGACAGGACAAGCTATAGCAGCAGGGGCTGTGAGCTATCCCAGACCTTCCTCTGTTAGTTTTCCCAGGAAAAGGGGCCCATCAGAATCCTGGAGGAATCATTCTAGAACTTATGAAGTAAATGGATCTGAAGAGCCCAAAAGGTGGACTATAGTGGGGCCCCAATTTCCCGCTCCAGGACTGAAGCACTCCTTTTCCAAGCTGCTGAGAACGCTGACAGCTCTCATCTGAGTCCCCCCCTGGGAACTGCCTTTGCCTCAAGTCAAGTCACCTAAGCACATGGCCCTTTCCTGGTCCATGTGGGGGTATGTCTGGCCACTTGCCTCAGTAGGTTACACATTTCTGCAAAGCTATCCTAGCTTGAGTGTGAGGGACTGACCAAGGTCTTTGTTGAGACCACTCAGCTCAACCTCCCCGCCTCTACACAGTCCTGCTCCCTTGACTCCCCCACCATACACTTCCTGCACACAAATTTCCAATTCAGTCTGTTTCACCAGGAACTCACACTATAGCAAATTAAAATGGAAACACTTTGGGATTAGCTGTGTGGAATGTTGTGCCTGTTGCTCAGGCAATTTCAGAGAGCTTTATGATGCTGACGGTGGTGGTGTGGAAAGATGTGTTAAATGAGCTTTTCATCTTAACAGTAGGGATGGAGATCAATTTCAAACACCACCAGTGGCGGACTTGAGTTACGGAGTCTGGCAAGTGTGAGGCTGGCCTCATGTGAATGAAAGTTACTTAACTCAGAGTGGTAGGTGAGCTCAAACACGATGATAGAAACACATCTCTCTGAGCTTCTGGTAAGGACAGCAAAGGCAATGGTCTCTTCTATACCCTTCCTGAATTGTGTGACATCACATTATATTTGGGTGACTAGCATAATCCATTTGTCAACAGTTGGGTCTTTTTTCCACTCATGGACCTTGAATTTAGGCAGAGCGACTTCCCTTATCTCCCATCAAGATACCTATTCCATAATTACCCAGTGACTAGCGCTATATCATAACCCTGGTCTAGAGACCAAGATATCATCTTTTTTATAATTTCAGGAGCTGGTTATAGAAACAAAACAGAAGTTCTCCTTAAATTCTTTCATCTCAGCTTCATTTTCTCCAACAATTATCCTTAGGCTGTATTCAGATCCCTTTTAGAAAAGTAGAATCCATTGTGCTTATTCATATTCACGACTTTATCAATATACCTAACAAAAATAACTCTTAAGACCAAAGACATACCAGATCAGCTTGTTAAGTACTTTGCCCACAGCACCCATGGGATGTAGCCTGCAAATGCATCCTCTTCTTCCTTCCTTTTTAGCACCAAACCCCATAGCTCAAGAGGACAACCTACTTGGAGGTCCTATCCCCAGTCTATTCAGGGCTGGTAAACAACATCTAAAAAGAACACAAGCTCTTATCGTCAGTGGTACTGTAATAGCATTGCATGGGGACCAATGGCGGCCTCGGCATACCTAGGTAAGCACAGAACGTACAGAATTATCCAATCACTATGCTGTACACCTGAGACTAACGTAACATGCTGTGTCAAGCATACTACAATCAAAAAAATTTGATAATTAAAAAGAAGTTAAAATTTATCAAAACATGCACACAAACACTTAAGGACCATACACAGCACCATCTGTAGCTGAGAGAAATGTAAAGGTGTGGTGTTAAGTCATAAGTGCATAAAGTAACTGTAGTGCATATCATATCATTGTCATAAAAACACCCAAAAATAAAAAGAGCACAACCTCTTTATTTCCTCTCGTGATGCAAACATTCAGTATGTATGAAAATGGGACCAGTACTGGAGAGAGTGGGTAGCTCTTCCATTTGTTCCAGCAAATTCCAGGCTCAACAGGATCTAGACTGTTTTCATCTGTTACTATTCAGCTTATCAAATCTACAGCCTGGTACTCCTTGAGCAGGATGGCCCAGGTAAGGCCGATGTGCTAACAGCCAAAGACAGAGGTGGGAGATACGGACGAGTCAATGTGGCCATGCAGGTTAGGCCCATGTCCCCACGTGCTCTCTAAAACTCCATTATTTGGTCAGAGCTGGGAGTGGTGTCAGCGTGCAGGCCCACTGTCGCTCACTGCTCCTCTGATTCTGCTCTTCTGCTTCTGAGGGAGAGAAGGTTCAGATCGTCTGGGAGCTGGTGGGGGCCACCCCCTGGGCAGCTTGCCGGGCTAGCCAGTACTTGTATCTTTTGGTCTTGGGCCTCTCAAAGTTCACCACAGACATAGGTACCCTCACAGTGTCAAGTCCATTCACCTGCACACACAACGACAGGAATCCTCAGAGGTCAGCTGGGCAGAAAAGAACTACTACCACCGATTCCCACCTTTTCACCCAGCCAGAAAAAGGAGGCAGTATATGAAACACTCACCGTCACCTCACACCAGTACTCGCCCCACCGCGTAATGGGCTCTTCTGGTAACTTTAATGCATGCGGGGTGACCACAACACCAAGCTGCAAAAAGTCACAACCAAAAGAAGCTCTGTTTACATTGATGCAACTGTAGGCAACCTCAAAGAAGGTTCTGGAATTTCCTGTACAGGAATGAATAAAACTGAGGAGTTTACCCTGGCTGATCCCATGGGAGGGCACAGACCTCCATAGACAGTGGCAGAGAAACTCAGTCTAATTTCTCAGAAAGGGAGGAGGATTCACCAAAGAGAAACAGGTCTTGAGCCTGAAATCACTGTATCCACAAAAGTACAAACTCCCCAGTGAGTCACATTTTCTAGGTTTTCCCTGGCTAGAGAGGAAATAAATGATAACACCATCTTTTCCAATCAGTCTTCAAATTCTGACATCCCTTAGTCCTTAGCCATTTCTCTCCCACAACTCCTGCAACCAACCAACAACACCTTCCCTAACTTAAGCTGTATGATCACACTCTTTCCTAACAAAGGGATCAATTCTGGGCCTCCTTCCCAGGGGAAGCTACTACCCTCAGAGGCACAGTGGTATGTGGGAACACTCACATTTTTGAAGAAATGGCGGGCGACTATTTCAGGGTTTAGTTCCCATTTGACGTTGTTCTTCATCCCCACTTCCAGGTGACAGCTTCTCAGAAATTTCACTGTCTGACAGAAATTATAAACAGGGAATAGGTTAGACTTGCAATCAAAGGAGAAGAAACATGTTAGCAAGAGGCACAACGTCTGAGTTCAGGAAAAGGGCACAATTTCTGCTTTACAAGCATACAGGTGAGAAGATGACTGGGAAAGAGAAACCTTCTTACTGTCTCACGGCTGATTTTGTAGGAAGGTGTTTTAGTGAAACTTTGGAGGAGAGGGTCACCTATACCTGGTTGTTCCTAAGCAAGGAGAAACAGGCCATGTCAAAGTTAGACCTATCAGTGGGGATCAGTGGTAGATCTCAGGACAGATCGACTTTTTCTTTTCTTTTTGAGAGAGAGCATGCATGAGTGGGGAGGGGCCTAAGGAGAGAATCTTAAGCAGGTTCCATGCAGAGCACAGAGCCCGAAGTGGGGCTCGATATAACAACCCTGAGATCATGATCTAAGAGGAAATCAAGAGTCGGACGCTTAACCGACCAAATCACCCAGGTGCCCCAGGATAAAATGACTTTCTTTTCTTCTTCTTCTTTTTTTTTTTTTTAAAGATTTTATTTGACAGAGAGACACAGCGAGAGAGGGAACACAAGCAGGAGGAGTGGGAGAGGGAGAAGCAGGCTTCCCGCCGAGCAGGGAGCCCAACACAGGGCTCGATCCCAGAATGCTGGGATCATGACCTGAGCTGAAGGGCGACGCTTAACGACTGAGCCACCCAGGCGTCCCCTAGAATGACTTTCAGAGACCATATTAATCCAATACTTCTGGTCCTTCAATCCTACCCCTACCCCATTAATAATTTCTCCCTGCTTACAGAATGAAGTATAAATTCATTAGCTGAGGATTCAAAATGTTTTACAAGTCTTACCCCAACCTCCTTTCCCTCCACATGTTTTGTAATATTACCCTACATAAGTCCTCTGCTTTTGCTAGACTGGTCTACTTTCCATGTTAAAAACATGCCTAGGGCGCCTGGGTGGCTCAGTTGGTTAAGCGACTGCCTTCGGCTCACGTCATGATCCTGGAGTCCCGGGATCGAGTCCCATATCGGGCTCCTTGCTCAGCAGG